GCCTGGGCAACCTGGCAGTACTCAGCCCACAAGCCAATCATGGAACATTTTTCTTTTATAAAGATTATTGTACCATGATTTGTTTGGCACACAGTCTGTCCTCAATCGCCTTGGTACATCTCGTGTGTATATATTGTATTGTATTGTATATTCACTACCAAACGTGTGCATGTGTTTTTGCAATGAGTCGATCAATCGTCCGATGATGCGTACGTGGGTTTGCATGCATGTGACTGCCTTAGTTGGACACAGCAAGTACGGTCAGCCCAAAGTCGTGGGTTTAGTGCTTTGGTGGCACAGCCTGTAAATCATTTTTTATCACATTTCATTGCTAGGTCAACAACGCGACCTACAAATCCCTGCGTCACGAGAATATTCTCCTCAGCGATGATAACCGGCAACCCAAGCTTCTGATTGTTGAGGTTCGAACCATCTAAGGCCCCATTAGGAGCTGAAAGACGGAGAAACTTTTTCTAACAGCACCACTAAAGTTCATCTCTCCCCATTTCCACCGCAGCGTTTCATTCATCTGTGTTATGTTAAACACCCTCCGCTGAAGAGGCATAAGAAATTCAAAGCAAACTAAACAATTTACATGGTTAATATTCAGATTAACCCGTTCGAATTTTCGCAGGCACCAGGTGGTGTTGGAGATCAGTAGGGCCTGGTGCCTATGAAAATTCGAACGGGTTAGTCTGAATATTCACCACCTAAATTTATTGAGCCTTTCGCACAAGATGATAACCGTTGACCGTGTAGCTTGAGGGTGTTATGTTTCCCGGTCGCCCAGAGAGAGAGGAAGAACAAAGACCGTCGGATCCGTGTATGTACGAATGAATGCGTCCGCACCAAACCACATGATAAGAGTGATAATCATGACATCACAAAATGTCAAGGTCAATGACACTGTCTGTTCGCCTGCTGGCACCCGTAACAGAGGGTGTGAAGGGTTTGAAGTCCCAGTCCGAACAATTGCTGTCCTGAGTCCTGACAGGGACACTAAAAATACGCACTGATGACGAGTTCCAAACAGGACAAACCAGCTGTCCAGTGCTCTCTTTGTTGGTTATCACAAACAGTTCCATCCTATTCAAACTAAACAATGTTGCTAATTGGTCTCTGTCCCGTTCCCTCTCATGGAATACCTCAATATGTCAGGATGTTGTTTTTCCTGTTGGTCAACGAACCAGATTCAGTCCTCACAAATGGATTTCCTACCCTTTCTACCAATTATGAACCCATATGAACATCAGTTTTGGTCAAATACCTTGGTGTCACTCTATCACAACTTATGATGGTCATTGCACGTTCAGGACACATTTTGTAAAGTTAGAAAGCTTTCATAATTCTCCCTCAGATTGAGAATCCTTTCTGTTCGTCACAAGTTTATTGGTAGGTTTGTGAATACATGCGTGCTCCTCCACTGGTTGTACTCGGCAGCAATTCAGCCAGTTCTGCAATACCGCGCAGGAAATTAGACATTAAGAAAACGTGATAAAGATAGGCTGTCTCGGCAGCATTGCAATCGGTCGAGCCGAGGTTACGCGCAGAGTTTTAGGTAACCGCGATCACCCACTGGAACACGTCAACCTGTGCGGATTATGCTGGTTGGAGCATGTGTTACGTGTGTCCCCAAATAGGTTGTCACGGTGCGCGATGTTTGCCGAGGTAGATATTGGGTGGAAAAAATCCGAGGGTGGTCAGGTTAAGAAGTGGCATGACGGTTTGGAAACTCTGACCGGGAGACTCGGTCATATGGGTCACGTTAGACTCCCTGGATGGGGACCTCGGGATCATCGTCATCAATGGTTAGAAACAATGCCTGATATGGCTGAGTGTCGTAAACAGTGGCGTTCGTGGATCTTCTCAATTCTCTTGCAACACTAGTTCACCAAAATTCTCTATTTTCTCTCTCAACGCTACTTTCAACTTTCTTATCTTGCTCCTACTGCTTCATCCGGATAGACAGCCAGAAAACAGAAACCAAAATAGGCTCACGAAAGTCCATGGTTAATGGTCGTACAAACTAGAAATAGAAACTGGTCCTACTGCTCCCCAGTATAATTTTCCCGCATGTGGTTAAAAGTGATTTGTTTACTGGCGAGATCCCTAGAACGCATCTCTGAATGCAGNTAGGGATGAACTTGCAGACACTGTCGTGGAAAGATAACCATAAGCATGTGAAAATTTAATTGCCAAAATACCTATCGCTCATTACACATCATCGTACAGCGAGATACAAGTCAATTCAAAGAATGGCTTTATACACCTCGAGAGGTGGATATTCAGCAATCACATAACCATAGTGTGTCAACAAAAAGTGAAAAAGACAACCCCAGCAATTACAGGACGTGAAAAAGGACAGTAACATCAAAATCAGTGGCATACTCGGGTGTATAGAATGGATTTAGTTTTTTAATTTGGCGCAGATTTCCTGCAACAAGTTCATGGTTTGTTAGAAATCTGGCGAGCTAAGGGACAATAGACCACCTGTGAGCTTCAGTGTGTGTCTTTAAAAGTTTGTGAGTGGAACGGGTGGATGAGTGAGAAAGGCACTGACTGAGGGTGGAATAAAGAGGATGAGAGATATCATATAAAATCTTGTTGGAGAATGTTTTACAGGACTTGAAGTGATGTGTCACCACAAACTCTACTAGATGTTCCCGTGGTATGAGACTACAAACGGAGAGAAATCTGAGGGATCGGGAAATGAGTTTGAGGTCCTTGTTCAAAAGACCAGGGAAGATAACAGGGGACCCATAAAGCCAGTGAGGCAAAATGCAAGCAAGAACAAAACGCCTTGTGAGATGGTTTGGAATGACAAGTGATTCAAGACGTAAAACATAAAACGTGAGCCTCCTGAACTTCGGAAAACATCATTGACGTGGTCGGACCAGGTGAGATTACGGTTGAAAATAACGCCCAGGTATTTGACAGACGGTTGTCGTTCCATCTGGTCACTGAGGATTGATAAAGGCGGGCTGGCGTTTGATAATTCATCATACTTTTGCCCTTTCAAAAAAGAAAAAATTACATCGTTACATTTTTTGGGGTTCATGCGGAGGTTCCTTTGTTGTGATCACTCAACTAGTTCAGACACGTCTTCTTGTAGAGTGGTTTGAAATGATGAGTTGGGGTAGGACAGTCTAAATATTATATCGTCTGTATACTTGACGAGAAGGGAAGAATTGCTCACAGGCAAAGAGGAAATGTAAGCAGAAAATAAAAGGGAATTGAATGGCACCTTGTAGTAGGCCTTTTGAGGAGGGCAGCATTGAAGATGTACGACCTTTATAGCGTGTGAACTACTGACGGTTGGAGAAATAGTTGGCCAAGAGTTCAATCGTAGAATGTTGAACTCCGCCCGAAGAGAGGGTATTTAATAAAGTTTGTTGATCAATAGTGTTGAAAGCATCACTGTAGTCAAGAAAACATATGCGTACAGCCTTGCTTTTCTTATCCAGGTTGGATAAAACATAGTGGGACAGATAAGCAAGGGCATCCGAGGTACCGCGGGAATGGGTTTATCCAAACTGGTTCGGGTCAGCAACACTGAATTGTGCGGACAGGGTCTTGAGGAGGAACCTATTAAACACCGTCAAGACAACTGAGGTGCAGGCAATGGGACCGAATTTTGAGGATCCTTTCTTAGGTATAGGGGTGATAGAAGCTATTCTCCAGCAGTCGGGTATACGTTGCTGCAGAATACAATCATTGAAAAGTTCACTCAGACCAGGGGAAAGAAAGACAGCACATTCCTTCAGGACAGCGGGTGAGACTCCGTCGGGGCCGCAAGAATTGTGAGGATTTAATTGAGCCAACTCTTGATAAATATCGTCAGGTGCAACACCGGAAACGGGATCAGTGGTGTTTATTTCATATCCAGTACGTAGAGCGGTGAGAGCGGTTCCACCATTGATGAAACTCTGATTCAGACCATCTATGTCCACCGCAGCAGGTGAGCGGTGTGATTTGATGCCAGAAATTCTCATGAGTCATCACGACTACCTTTGTTGTGAAACCGAGCACGGGCGTATAAAGAGTTAAGCTTTCGAAGTTCAGCCCGGATGGATTTCGAAAGGGAGCGCACATCTTCGCGCTTATGCATTTTGAAGGCACGCTCGTTTCTACGACGGAGTTGTTTGAGTTGTGGGGATGAGAATCGATCGGAACGAATATAAATTGTCTCCAAGGCACAACAAACATCGCAACAAGAGTTTAAGTAGCTTGTTAATTGATCACAGAAAACGGAAGGGTTGGGATCAGAAAACAAATTAAGGTTTAGGAGTCTGATCGTTTCCCTTAACATCGTGAGGTGTACTGGAGATACAGTGAAGCGAACTTGACTGATCGCTGCGCATTGCACAACGAACTTTCAAAAGCTCTATCGACATCATCCACGCGCTCAAGGTTCGAACTATTATTTGTACATACCTCTCTTCAAGTCGTAATTCTGTTTCGCCATATCTCGCACGTCTAGTAGTTGACAGGGAAAAAATTTTCCACAATCTTGTAATTGTTTGCTTCGTTGACAAAGGCGATATCCGAGTAATTTCAGTTTCATTTTTGTATTTCTATTTTAAATTTTCATCCTCAGATATGATGTGTAAAATGCTGAAAATTCGCCCATCCAGGTGCACAGAGTATCCACTGATTTCATTTGACTGACACTCGACTGTAGCATGTTGCACTCAAATGGAAGAAAATCCAAATTTGAAAATTGTTGTGATTTCGGATTGCCATTATTTCATTTCATTGGTCCATTTTTCTCACCCAGGTGATCGTCGAAATGACCGATGGTGGTTGTGATTACACGTTCGAGTGCATTGGCAATGTCAAACTGATGCGACAGGCACTGGAAGCGTGTCACAAAGGTTGGGGTGTATCGGTTATCATTGGAGTAGCTGCCTCAGGTCAAGAGATTTCCACGCGACCGTTTCAGTTAGTTACCGGTCGGACATGGAAAGGATCCGCTTTCGGAGGTTAGTGTGTGTGTGCTATGGTTGAGGTTTAAATGAAGGCAAACCAGTTGGCACTGCTGTGATTCCAACCGCACCCCACTCGTCTTATTGATTAGTTTTTCTGGTACCATGTCCGTGTGAATAGTTGTTCCAAATGTTTCTATTTTTTTCCCTGCTCAGTGGATCTCTCAAACGGTTCAAAATAATAACTGAGTGCAATTATGAAACCCGTTCACCGGTTTCACAATTATTTTCTCCTTTCATATTTCCAGCTTTGAATCCCCTTTTTATCTATTTCTTTGATACACGAACAAGACAAATGTCGTGAGATTGGTAACATTTCGTTGAATCTTCTCAATCGCTAACTTAAACCAAACAGTTGCATATATGGCACGTGGAGTTGACCAATTTTGGTGGATGATTTTGTACGAGCATACGAAGATTAGTAAATACAGGTCTATTCAAAACTGAAGCAATCATGCAGCCCAGAGACTACGTACATCGAAGTAGACAAGATATAAATTATTGTCCATACCCAAAGCATTAATATGGGTGATAAATATAATGAAACTCCATTTGATCATAAAGAAAATATCTTAGTGCATCACAATCGGCCAGTACTGTATAGAAGTTAGACAGTCAATTCCACGGTCTAGTGGATTTATTGTTTCAATTTTTTTTCTAAATTCTTACATATGACGAGCATTTTAAGACTCACATTTTAAATCATTTGAACCGCACTTCTCTGTGTCTCACGAAGTGGAACTCAACAACACTAGCGTTTCTATACATAAAACGCGAATAAATGTGATAATACAACGCTCAGATTACCGAAAAGCGAGTAGTAGTCAATACCTACACTTTTTCGGCTTCCCCCAATGGCTCACAGGGAGAGCCATTTGTTCTCCAGATACACTAGAAGAAGAAGGGCATTTCCAGTGGAGAACATTGCTAACCAACGTTGATCCAGGAAGGATTATGAATATTCACAGTAGATCGTTCTTAAAAGTTAACTCAACCCAAAACGTTAGGAAAAAGCCACCTACTTAAAGCTGGCGTTCAAAGATGATCACATTTACAAATGATGTGTTTCTTGAGGTCAGCTCTATAGACCGCACATTCCCAGCTGCCCAAATCAGACTCATTGCCTTCACTCGTGGAGCTGATTTGGATGAAGGAAAACGTGGCTGTCAAACCGGCTCCGTCACACACACAGTGTATACCAGTTCACCTACAGTTACGGTACATAAGCAGAACAAACTGTCAGCTCGCACAACGGATGACCGAACAAATTCCAAAAGAGTTGGTGAAATCAATGACCGATAATTGATAGTCGAGCGATTACAAGAAATCCATGGTAATCTGTCGCAAAACATGTCATGACAACATGGCACACAGTTGATCCCAATTCATCTTTCAAACCACTGTTAAGTAATCTCACTGGCAAACCTTTGGCAATTAGTGAAGCGTTGCTTATTGGATTACATCACTCGACCTTATGCGCACAAACGTTTTTGATACAATTAATCCACTTACCTTGGCGCTGACCTACTTCTATGTTTAGTGATCTTTGTATGCTTTCGTGCACAGATCAAAAGTCTGTGTTTTTTACTCATGAACCAGAAATCCTTAAATCGGGTCGTTTTCTTTTTAGTCAACTCGTGTCTAATGAAGACTGAAAAACAACCAATAGATGCAATGTAGAATAAATAAAACGTCCAAAGTCATAGAATGTGATCGTTGAAATCGTCGACTTTTTAAAGCCGGACATATATGCTTCAGTGGGAAGCTGAAAATGTCGAACGATAGCTCAGCTTGTGATGCACATGCTGTAAAAAGACGTGAATGACGTTGACGCGTTTACTCTGGTCCAATCGAGGACGTCCAACTGTACCATAGCAACTGTACATATTCTGGGAATATCTATTTAGAGTGACAAGTAAACCCTTTTGGGTTCACGTTTGTCTCCTATCCATCCAAAGTTACGTTATGTGGGATCCCAGTCACATCTTTTTTTTCTACTGTGATGCGATCCCGATTTTTTCCACAGGATGGAAATCACGTGATTCAGTGCCCAAACTGGTTGACTCATATATGGCCGGTTCGCTCAAGGTGGACGAATTCATCACACATCGATTCCCATTGGACCGGATCGATACGGCATTCGAAGTTATGCATTCCGGTCAGAGGTATGTGCACAACGCGTGCTTATCATTATCGGTTGTTATTGCGTTATGTCGCTCATGTCACGATACAGACGTGCACGGGAGTGGGACAGCAAGTTTTGTTCCAACAGGCTCTGTTCTGTCGCGGGCTCACTATCTCCAATCCTATTTGGAAGTTGTTCTAGTGCTATATATATATATACCAAGTAAATCCTCGCACAATAATCTTTATAAAAAGAAAAAAAGCTCCATGATTAGCTTGAGGGCTAAATACTGGCCAAGGCAGGTGAATTCTACTGAAGAATCCACAACCGGAGCCTTCGGCTAGCCAAAACCTGACCTGCAAGGCAACGGGGTGATGTGAGAAAATCGCAATCCAGTTCTTCGGATCATATGCCCTTCGGACGGGGTCAAACGTCCAAGGTGCCCAATCGAGCTGGTGATCACTGCCACAACCGTGGTGGTTCATACGCCTCCTCTTGGTTGGTTTGAAATCAGGGTTTTTGGATAACTCCCCTAGATGAAG